GCTGGATACAAATAAATGATAAAGAAGACTGGCCAGAGGAAAAAACAGCATTTGAACTCAAGGGTTGGCCATCAGCAACAATAGCAAAACTAGCAGCAATATGAATAGCAATTCTAACAATACCAGAAAAAAAGAGCATAGAAATATATACTGATAGCATTGTAGCATTAAGAAACATTAACAGAGCAATCCAAAACATAAAAAATGAAAGTACAATAAAGAGAAAAAACACAATATGGATAACGAATATTGAAGGTCTTATCAAAAGCAAAAATATAAAGACAGAAATAGTTAAAGTTAAAAGCCACAGTGAAGATAAGTAGAATAATAGAGCAGATTCTTTTGCAAAAAGAAACAACTTGTAAAAACCTAATATATGTAAAAAAGGTTATATATAATAAAATAGAGTATCATTTAAAGTAGAAAAATAAGAAAATTGATATACCAGTAAGACTTTTGTGTAAAATAATAGTGAATGCCAGAATTGGAGCCATTTGAAGAGAAACAAATCCAATAAGAGCACTAAAGCAAGAAACAGAAAACATATTACATAATTGAACAAGTTTTTGGAAAAAAATGAACAAAACAAAAGGAGCCTACTGCATATCAAGAAAACTCAGTATAAGAAAAGCTATAGCAGTTAAGTATATAATGAACAAACTGCCAACACTCGAAGAGTTAAACAGAAGAAGGCCAGAAGTATATACAACAACAAAGTGCCAGATATGCCAAGTTGGAGAGAAAGAAACACAAGTATATCTGGCAAGTTGTAGTAAACAAAAAAGTTTGTGGAAATGAATTTAAAAAGTTGCAATAGCAGCAGCATATAATAGGCTCAAAGAAGAAGAGAAGAACAGAATTTCATCACAAGTTCTGTATGAAATGCTATTTGAAAAATTAGAAGCTAAAGAAATTAAAAACAGAGAAGTGCTAATAAAAAGACTTATGAAGATTAAAGTAGAAAAGAAACTCGAATGACTTTTAAGTAAGTAGACAACACAGAAGTGCATGAACATAGTAATGAAAACAGTATAGAACACCTTTTATAACCAAGTATGAAGAGTTCAATATGAAAAAACATGAGACTGGAAAAAGAAGACTAATATAATGAATAAGATAAAAAAAGGTGTTTATACAAAATAAAAAATAAATAAAGAGAAGAGAAAAGATTCACAAACAAGAAAAGAAAAAAAAGAAAGAAAAATAGAGAAAGCAAACTAAATAAAAAAAGAAGCTTTGAAAACAATTAATATGCTTGTCACAAAAGGAAAAAGGCCCTTCTGGTATAGCTTTAAGTAGTTAAACAAGCAGTCTATCTCTAACTAAAATAGTGTGGCAGGTTGCACTTAGGTACCAAAAGGGTGGCCAAGTGATGCTAGACTTAAGTATTAGGAAATTCTATGTGATTGTATAAATGTATATAGTTTCAAGAATCTTAATAAAGTACTAGTATAACTGCTTAAGATTAAAAAAAAAAAAAAAAAAAAAATCTAAAAGCATGACTTACTCAAAATTCATCTCTTCAACCTATAAAAAAATTTTTTATTAAAAACATTATCTCTAATTTAAACAAAATCAAATTTGCTAAAATAATTAACAAATAGGCTATTTATATTATTAACAACATAATTTTTATATGTGCAATATATTAAATGCAAAGCACTTACTTATCAAAATACTTTTGTAACTCAATTACAAACTTATACACAAATATTGTCAAACAGAAAGCTCGACTAGCTTGGTTTACTCCTAATTCTATCCTATACTATCCTTATATATATGCTTTAAACATACTTTACAATATCCAATAACAACAGCAAATTTATATATATATCTTAAGTCAGATTTCTGTTACTATTGCTAGTTTGTAATCCTTTTTAGACTTAGTATTATTTTCAATAGATTGTACATCTAACCTGCCTCTTAAGTACTTTCTTTTATAGTATAAATAGAACTCTATTTCAAAGATAAGTATACATTTTCTTCTAGCTATTAACTAATGTTTTTACTATTGTCATCTAATGCTGCAGGTTTTCTTTTATTTTTTTTATTTTTTTTTTTATTTCCACTGCCTGGTCGCTAGTGGGCCGCAGTTGGCAACTATTTTATTAGTTCAATTTTTAAGTTCACAGGATCTTCTATTAAGACCCTACCTACATTTTACATTTTATTTATATATTTTACAGTACTATCTATATACTAATTATTTGTGTTCCTATTACCCCAGAATTTCACCAGGACTATTCCTAATCAGGGATTCCTTTGTTCTATTATTATCCTCAGCCTCCTGATCATCACGACCTTCTTATGTCAGATCCGTCACCATTTAAGGATCTGGGTACTGAAGATCTTTCTATTTTCATAGAGCATCACCTGCTGTAGTTAATCAACAATTGTAGTCCTAACTCAGTTTTTCATCCCCCATTGGACTTGAACTGGCAACCTTGCGATTGGTAACCTGGGAGCATAACCACTTCTCTATCAACCCGCAGGTCGTTTTCTTTTATTCTGTTTTCAACTATAGACAATTTTTTTACTTTTTTAAGAACATTCTAATCCAAATCTACATTTAGACTAAGGTGTTCATACTGTATTCAAGTAGGTTTTTACTTTCAATTTAGATATTTTAAACTTGATTAATACAATATTTATATTGGTATATTCTACTTGTTTTATCATAAGCTTCTATATAGATGTGACCAAAACTTCAGTTTGGAACTTTTAAACATACAAAACAGTATATAATTTTTTTATATAGATGGTTACCTTCTATTCTCAGTTATTTTATAATATCATAAATGCTTTCAATTTTGATAAGGCTAATTCTTTGTTACAAACTTTTTATATATATACCATTTCTCTTATTATTTTAGTTCATATTATTTAGGTATTATCTTTCTAATCAAGTATTTTATAAGTTGAATGTGGAGATGTTGGTACTGTCATGTTTTCAAAAAACTTATATGTATAATTTTTTTTGTAATAAAACTTTCTGTAATACTACTGTCATATATAATATCCATACTTAGCAAAGGCAGTTTCTTTTAAAAATTTCTTTTCTGTTATGTATTGTATTTGAACTTGACTACAAGGCTTCATGTTTAATTACAGACTTCTTATAAGTTACAGAAGCTAAAATTTTTTAATTTTTGTCTCTAGCTAGACTTGAACCATTAACCTTGACTATAGAGATATAAGAGCTTAACTATTAAGTTATAGAACCTATACCTCTAAATATAGTAATAATAAAAATAATTTAAGACAAATATACTATATTATTATGTAATTAAAATTTTATTTTATTAATTAATTTGGTTTAATAATTATATTTTTAGCAATTTTTAATATATTTCAAAATGTTTTGAAACATTTAAAATATTAAAATAAATAACTTTTTACTATTAGTCAAAATTTTATTTAAAATCAATTTTACTATATTATAATTAAATATTAATTTTATTATTATTGTTTAATTTTATTGAACTTTGTAAAATTTTTAAATTTTTTTACAATTTTTCAATATATTTTGCTATCTTTAAAAAATTTCTAAATTTATTTCATAATATTTTGTACTTTACAAATTTCAAAAATTTATTTTATAATATTTTAAAATATTTTACATTGTATAAAAATTTTAAAATTTTTTTGTACAATATTTTAAAAAATTTTGCATAGTACAATAATTTTAAAATTTATTTTGCAATATTTTAAAAAATTTTGTATTTTGTAAAAATTTTAAAATTTCTTTTACAATATTTTAAAATTTTTGTGCTATGCAATATCTTTCAAAATATTTTGTATTTATAATTTTGCTAAAGAACCTAACAAATATACAAAAAAGAAAACTTTTTTTTTTATTTATTTATATAACATTATAGTAAAAACTTTAAAATACAATAAAAAATTTAATTACAGAAAAAATTTCTAAAATAAAGATTTCTAAACTACATTTGTGTTACTAAAAAACTATTCAATATGATTTTACACCTTCTATTTTCTAATGAGTGCTATAAATAATTAGTTCAAATTATTTTTTAGCTAGAAGAAAATCTTAAAAAAAATAAAAATAAAAATAAAAAAAATAAAACTTAATACTAAATTAAATAGTATTTGATATACAAAAATTAGATAACTATTTACTTAGATATAATATAAAAATTAAAATATTTAAATAAATAGTTTTCTAGTAAATTATAAATATAATAACTAGTATAAACAATATTAGGTTTTAAACCAAAAGTCTGCTCTACTAAACTTATAAACTAACTATTAAATATATGTTCAGTTTTAGTTTAATTTTACTAAACTTATAAATAAATCTAACATTAAGTATAAAACCTACAAGCAGACTACTTAAATAAACAACCAAAGTTGTATACTTATCTTGTACAAGTTATATATAATGCATTAGCTAAAACACAATAAAGATAATAACTAAAATCTGATTAACTAAAAAAACAGTAATAAATTTTTTTTTAAAATAAAATGCTAAAAGGTTTTAAAAAATTTTTAAATAATTCTAATTAGCAAATTAAATTTTAAAATCAAGTATAATATAACATAATTAAAAAAAAAACCAAAATTTAGTTTATGAAACCACCTTCTGCGCACTAATAAAAAATGTTTTCTTGCTCTACAGTAATGAATTTTTTTTTAAAATAAAATGCTAAAAGGTTTTCGAAAACTTTCAAATAATTCTAACTAGTAAATCAAATTTTAAAATCAAGTATAACATAACAATTAAAAAAAACCAAAATTTAGATTATGAAACCACCTTCTGCGCACCAATAAAAATTTTTTCTTTCCTTATATTAATAATGCTGGCCATGCTGAATCGATAAAGTTAATGCTGGGCATTTGCAATTTTCTAATTTGATTGGTTAATAATTAACGTATGTTAAATGATATTCTCCATCATATGACATAAACTCTATCATGTGACAACAATTATTTCTAACTTTAACTACGTGTTTGCCACAAAAATATTTACGTTGATTAAAATGGTTCCTTCTGATGATTCCTCAAATGAGGGCTCAGGTCAAATACTGTCCCAAGCAGAAAGAGCAGCTCAAAAGCTGTCGTCTGAAGTAAGTGGTTTAATTTTCCTTTTTTTTATGAACTGCCATTTTAATTTAATGGAACGATTAGGAGACCGAACGGAAAATAAAAGATATTGTCCGACTTGCTTTAGCATCTGAACTTCGCAAGGTTCCTTTAAAGCGTGATGAAATTACAAGAAAAGGTATGCTCAACTAAATTTACTGTTCGGGTTTCGCGTATTTCATCATAATACCTTTTTTTTTTTCTAAACTAGTTTTACATGAGCACTCTAGAGCGTTTACAGTAGTAATGAACAAAGCTCGAGAACGTCTACGTGATATATTTGGAATGGATTTAGTAGAATTGCCGGCTAAAGAAAAGAAAGCTGTCACAAGTTCTGGAACTACGCGTAGAGGTGAGACATCTTTTTTCCATGAAAATTTAGTTAGTTTCTAAAATTATTTTAAAATGCAGGTGGTGCAAATAAGGACAAATCTTCTTCCTCAAAATCATATGCTTTACAAAACATACTACCACAAAAATTAAGGGACACAGATTTGATTCAATGGGATCGAAATGGTGAACAAGAAACTATGGGATTACTCACTGTCATTCTTAGTTTAATTCATGTAAATGGACGCGTCTTATCAGACGGTGAGTATAAAATACAACTGCTGTAATTAAACATATTTTATATTATTTATTATACAACTCTTATCATGATTTAGATCAACTTAGACATTACTTTCGAACTCTTTACCTTGAGAACAATCCAAAGTTTGAATTAGACAAACTTTTGCCGAATTTCGTCAAACAGGGATATTTGGATAAACAGAAATCAGGCTTTGCTGACAGTTCTTCACAAGCGCCAGAAAGGGAACATGTAGAATATCGATGGGGACCAAGGGCAAAAATTGAAATGCCAGAAGAAAATCTTTGTGGTTTTATTAAATCAGTAAGCGTCCTCATAAAAGATTTGACACTGTTTTGTCATATTAATCATTATATTTAATTCACAGGTTTATGGAGATGATGTACCATCAGATATAATTAAACAGATTGAAAGGGCGTCTGGAATCAGTGATGGCAAATGACAAAGTCATAAAAAAATATTTTTATAAATGACAATAATACCAATACTATCTCCAATAAGCCAAGATACTATTATTACTAATCTTTGTAAATTGTACTCGTTATATATGATTTTTCAATTTATATGTCATTCGTGGATTAGAAAAAAATATGTCATTTTGCAATTAAACTCATGCCTAAATGCCAAATATATGTAACATCTACTGTATTTCGAGATTTCTGCTTGATAATTTTTATCATTATTTTAACATCGGTTAATTATGGCCAGCTGGTATTTTATGTTATGAATTGGTCGTTTCTTGAATATTATTTTTGATGACAGTTTACATTGCAGATCAGAGTTTTAATATATTTTAATGTTCATAATAATTTTTATAATAATTCTCTAAAAACCTTTGATCAAATATATAATACAGTAACTAAAATGAAAATAAAAAAATTGTTAATATCAATTTAGTATACGTATTAAGAATTGACACATTTTCAATTAGTTTAAAAATGACCTACGTATAATATAAAAATCGGTGGAATCACTTGTGTACCGTTTAGATTACTAATATAAATAAATTTTTAAATTGTGTAATGATAATTATGATAATACAGAAATAGCAGAATTAGTGATCAATTAAAATTTAGAAATAGGTCTGGTGTTAGGCCGGCAGTAAGCAACAATACCAGCCAATTATACTACTGGAAATTATTATCTGATTAGCCGTGGGCTATCATTTTATTAGTAAAATTTTGAATGGTTTTGAAGAAAAATTATTAATTTTGGTTAATTTCAATTTTAAATTTTGGTTGATTTGTTGATTTTTGATTGTTTTACTAATTTATTCTATTCAATAACATTTTTATCAAGGTTGTAAATAGTAAGTTATTATTAGTAAATTACCAAAAAAGGTACAATAAGGTACCAAATTATTGCAGATTTAAAATTAATTTTAATTAACATTAATCTTAAAACAGTAGACTATATGATTAAAGATTTTAATAAATTAGATTGATCTAATTTTTAATTCATTTTTAGTAAATTAGACTTACTTTAGCATTTTACTTCAAATTGCTTTATAGTTATTTCAAGTTATTTCAAGTTGTTTAAAATTTAAAAATAAAAGTTTAAACTTATTTTAACTTACATTAAATTTTATTTTAAAATGCTTTAGAGCAAGCTATTTTATTAACAATTTTAATTATAGCAGATCAGTATAGTATAGATTTAAATTAAAAGTTATACTATACTAATTAGTTATAATTTTTTGTTAAATATTAACAATAAGGCTAATTAGTTATAATTATTATTATAATATTAATATATATAATATAAAATATTATAAATAGTAAGTTATTATTAAGGGGTGTGGCGACCTAGTGAAGTGGTCAGGTTGTCAACCCCCAAGTGGCAGGTCTAGAGTTCAAATCCCATA